CTTACAGGAAGGAGATGATCAATCATTTCTAGAGCTTATAAATACGGTTGAGAAAGGCTATCAAGATCTAGCCAGAATCAATATGGAATCTGAAATATCCAATAGTGGAACAGTCAGTTTAATCGAAGAACGATTGCCTCGTGACATTAAGCGGGAATGGTCTAGAGAAGTCAACAGATCAACCAGCAAAGTAGAACAGAAAAATAAGTTCCCGTATCTTCTCCAATTCCTTCAAGAACAAAGAAAGATTATAGAATACGAGCCATCAGAGCTGAGGACTGGAGGGGATCATGCTCGCAAAGGTCGTGTCCACATGATTGACCGTGATGGAAAGTTTATTGAAGACAAAGAAGCTACAAAGACGACCAGGTGCTTAGTTCACAGCTCGAGCACGCATAATACAGCCGATTGTAGAGTATATCAAGAGATGGCGCCTGAAGGGAAAGTCCAGTTGTTAAAGGAAAAGCAAGCTTGCTGGTCATGCCTCAAGATTGGTCACCGCTCTATTGACTGCAGACAACGCAAGAAATGCAACAGTGATGATTGTTCAAAATATCACCATGATTCCTTACACGTAGCCCACGTTCAAGGGGTTGCATTCCATATACCATATTTTTCCCGGCCAAATTCTGACGCAGATGGAAAGGAATCGGGAACTTGCTTGCTGCAGGTGATGAAAATAAAATCAGCTGTCAATGCTGCTCCTTTAAATGTGCTGTGGGACGGTGGTGCAACCATTAGTCTGATCACCTTTGCTAAAGCACGTGAGCTAAGTTTGGATGGAGAGGAAATTAGGCTGTCGGTTGTCAAAGTTGGCGGTGTCAAGGAAGAGATGAGATCATCAGTATACAAACTTCCCTTAATCGATGAATCAGGGGAGACTGTCAACTTCCGCGTTTATGGAATTGATCGGATATCCTCCCCTATGGAGGGAATTAACCTCAACGGCGTGATGCATCTGTTCCAAAACATAAACAAGCAGGAGATTCAGCGACCAAATGGGGAAATAGATGTGTTGATTGGTTATGAGTATGCAGGTTATCATCCTGAGCGGGAGCAATCTTCTGGGCATTTACTTCTGTTGAAAAACCGATTCGGTCGTTGTCTGGGTGGGTCTCATACCAGTATGGCAGAGAACACGCTTAAGCTTATCCAGCATGCTACAGTTCACCATGTTGCGAGGATAAACATTGAAAATTTTTTCGATACTGAATCTCTAGGCGTTGAATGTTCCCCGAGATGTGGAAGTTGTCGCTGTGGACGGTGCCCAATTGGTGGGAAAAGCTTCACATTGAAGGAGGAGCGGGAATTAAATTTGATTGAGGAAGGATTGACACATGAAGGCGATCATTGGGTTGCGCGATACCCTTGGATTAGGAGCCCGGATGATCTGCCAAACAACAAAGAAGCAGCTTTGAGAATGCTTGGGTCTACAGAAAAGAGGTTGCAGAAGAACAAACCGCTTCTGGAAACGTACAAGGAGCAGATTCAGGATATGGTACAGCGAGGTGTTGCAAGGAAACTCACACAAGCAGAAATTGAAAACTATGACGGCCCAGTATATTACCTAAGCCACCACGAGGTGCTTAAACCAGAATCCACATCCACGCCTTGTCGAATAGTCTTCAATTCGTCAGCGAAGTTTCAGGGACATTCACTAAATAACTACTGGGCTAAGGGACCAGATCTTATGAACAACCTGCTCGGCATACTCGTGAGATTTAGAGAAGGCCCAGTCGCATTTGTCGGCGATATACGGAAGATGTACCACGCCATAAAGATATCAGTTCTTGATCAGCACACTCATAGATTTCTTTGGCGCGACGTGTCGCAGGATAGTGGGACAAGTACATACGTCATGACGTCCGTATCGTTCGGTGACAAACCTGCGGGAAATATCGCCACAGTTGCTCTACGCAAAACAGCGGAAATGCAAAAAGATGATCTTCCGAATGCATCAGATACCATCCTCAACAACACTTACGTTGACGATATTGCAGATAGCGTGGAGACTATGGTAACAGCACGAGAGACAACCGGTCAAATTGACGATTTGGTCAAGGTTGGTGGATTCCAAATCAAGCATTGGATCTATTCATCAGAGAATGTGAACGATGACAGCGCAAATAGATCACTGGGAAGCAAGTCGGTATGCGAGAAGCAGATACAAAATACTGGGACAGCATGCTCTGAAGGGGATGAACAGAAAGTTCTTGGTGTACGCTGGGATTCAAATAGGGACGAATTTTGTTTCAAAACGCAACTTAACTTTACCCCAAAGATTAAGAAACTACGAAGTGGACCAAATCTCACTCAAGAACAAGTTCCAGCGCTTATTCCGCCCATACTAACGAAACGGATGGTGTTGTCGCAGATTAACGGAATATACGATCCACTTGGACTCGCAGCCCCATTCACCGTGAGGGCAAAGATACTTATGAGAAAATTGTGGATAGGAGAATCGAAAGACCTGACCTGGGACGATCCAATCCCCGCCTCGTTAAGAGAAGAGTGGTTGCGATTTTTCATTGAACTTTTCAACATGGAAAAGGTCACGTTTAGAAGGTGCGTGAAACCAGTCGGTGCTGTTGGCAACCCAGCCCTCGTGATGTTCAGTGATGGATCAGACCAGGCATATGGTACATGTGCGTATGTAAGATGGCAGCTTGAAAATGGGACTTTTGGTGCCAATCTTCTAGCAGCAAAGAGCAGGGTCACACCAATTCTAAAGACGACAATCGTTAGAACGGAGTTGAACGGAGCGTTGCTTTCGAAAAGGCTTAGTGCTTTTATCAAGAAAGAATCTCGCCTCATTTTCGAGAAAGAATATTTTTCGTGGACTCGGAGATAGTTAGAGCAATGATTCAGAAAGATTCGTACGGATTCAACACCTATGCAGCCGTGCGAATTGGCGAGATTCAAGAAGGAACTTCTCCAAGTGATTGGCATTGGATTGAAGGGAAACTCAACATAGCTGACTGGATAACGCGGGGGAAGAATCCGAGCGAGCTTGACAAGAACAGTCTTTGGCAGACAGGGCCAGACTTTCTTCACCTGCACGAATCAGAATGGCCAATCAAGAAATTTGTATTACCGGATCACCTGCCTGAAGAGACCAAGGCGGCAATGATCATTCAAGTTGAGTCGAGAATCATACTGTCTCATGCCATTGATATTCTACGATTCTCTTGCTATTATCGTTTGCTTCGGGTGACTGCACGCATTACAGCTGTCGGCAAAAAGACCCCGAAACCATCGTTGAAAAATCTTGCTGCACCAGTCGAAGCGGAATGTGTACAGAATGCTGAGCTTCTTTGGATCAAAGAAGCGCAAAAATCGTTGCAGCAGCGCTTCGAGAAAGGAAAGTTTAATCGACTTTGCGCACGAAAGAGAAAAGATGGAATCATCGTTGTTGGTGGGAGAATCCCAAAGTCGTCTGAATCTAGTTACGATGAACAAGAATTGATCCTGATGCCGTTCGATCATCGAGTGTCTCGTTTGTACGCGGAACGTGTCCACAGTAGAGGTCACAATGGAGTATCCACCACTATGAGCAAGATTCGAACCCGCTTCTGGATCCTGAAGCTGCGCAAGATGGCTAGGGCTATCAGAGAGCAATGTGTCATCTGTCGCAAAAAGCAGAAGATTTTGGAAAGTCAAGTGATGGGAACATTGCCGAAAGAACGTGTGACCCCTGCACCACCGTGGAATTCAACTGCGGTAGACTTTTTCGGACCATTTCAGACGAGAGGTGAGACAAACAAGCGTTCCCGGGGTAAGGCGTATGGTGTGCTCTTCAACTGCATGGCTAGCAGAGCTGTTCATGTGGACATAGCAACCGATTACAGTACGGAAGGTTTCCTAATGGTTCTACGAAGATTTGTCTCTATCCGAGGGTACCCGAAGCACATGTTTTCAGATTGTGGGTCTCAACTTGCGTCTGCTAATAAGGAATTAAAATCCATAATCGAAGGTGTTGATCACGAACGACTTCGAGAGTTTGGCGCTGAGCATGGGTTAGAGTGGAAGTTTGCAGCTGCTGATGCTCCATGGCAAAATGGTTGCTCCGAAGCACTGGTGAAGTCTGTGAAGGGCGCAATCAAAGGGGCGATTGGGGATCAGGTATTGATGTTTTCCGAGCTACAGACAGTCTGTTTTGAGGCCGCCAACCTAGTTAACGAACGGCCAATTGGTATTCATCCGACGAGTCCCAGCGACGACACATATCTTAGCCCGAATCACTTGCTTCTCGGTAGAGCGTCGGCAAGAATTCCCAGTGGACCATTTAAGGAAACGAAGAACGAAAGGTTGCGCTTTGAATTTGTGCAAAGATTGGTGAATGCGTTCTGGAAACGATGGATCCGTGATTATTTCCCGAGCCTATTAATACGACAGAAATGGCATGTTGATAAACGAAACGTGTGTGTCGGAGACGTTATGATTCAAGACTCGAACAGTATTCGTGGACAATGGAAAGTTGGTCGCGTATCGAAAGCCTTGGTTGAAGACGATGGAAGAGTACGCAGGGTCGAAGTACAGTACAAGTGTTTGCCAACGAAAGAGACAAAGGTATACAAAGGACAAGCTTATACGACAATCGAAAGGCCTGTGCAAAGATTGGTTGTAATTGTTGCGGCAAACGAATCGTTTGAAAGAAACTAATACCTTGGTTCGCAATAATTTGCTGCCCGGAGTGTTTTGATCAGATAAGTTTGTAATTGCGAACTTGGGACTGGGAATAGATTTTCCCGCCAAAAGAAAACATTAGAATAATTAATTAGTTTTGGTATGCATGCTAGCTTGTAGGTTGAAATTTATATCTCCGTTGAGAACTGTTTGGACTGGTTTATTCTCCGTTGAGAACTGTGGAAGCTGTCTCCGGCGAGACATATATACATGACTTGGACTTATGAGAGCCCATAGTGTAAGTACGTTAAATAATGCGTCATTTGGCCTGTTGTTATGTGGGATTAGGGGTAATTATTTATGTAAATTCATATTTTGTTCGTAGGTTCGAAACCTTATTACGATACTGTTTACGATATTGTGTGCCTCATTTAAATTGACGAAATACCCTCTACTTTTACTCTGATCCACTCCTCTTTCTACTTTTGTAATATAATAGTTGTAATTTATTCATATTTCTGTATTCTCCGCTTTGTATGTCATTGCTCTGAAGATGTCTTAAGTTAAAGACGAAACGTTAGCTTTCTAATAAATATTTTAAACTATATTTTTGTTATGGCTCTTTTACGTATTTTCTGCAGAGTATTATGTTAGTTTTGTATATTGTGTGCTATAAACCAGATCCCATTATGCCATTCAGTTGCAGAAATCAGGGTGGCAATGACATTCAGTTGCAGAAATCAGGGTGGATGAAGAAGGTGATATACTGCAAGTTGATAATTATGACTGGTTGCAACTGTTACTATAAGTATTGATATTCCAATCTAATACTGAATCTCTGCTCTTTATGCAGCCACTGTTACTTTGGCTTTGCTTTAAAGGTGCTCTAAAGCCCGATCTGCGCATGTGCACAAAGGAGCCCACTTTTTATGATACAAACAGTTCAACTATGTTTTGGGTTCTTGAAAAGCCTGATTGTTGTTTCTTGATAATTTATTATACTCTAGAAGCTTGAAAATATAAATAATTGTTGAATAAAACTCAATATTTTGGACACCAAAATGTAAACAAAGGCTTTGTTTACATACGGACTGTAGAGCACCTTTAATGAAAGCAATTATTCAATGCACATACTCCCTGGTAGAAATCTTAGGTAGGATCCTAACAGGATCCTAACAAGATCCTGCCTAGCAGGATCTTGCTAGGATCCTACAAGATACATACCAGGATCCTATTCAGGATCCTGTAGTATCCTACAGGATCCTACAAAGTTCCTAGCAGGATCTTGTCAGGATCCTGCAAGTTCCTAGCAGGATCCTATCAGGATCCTACAATGTTCCTAGCAGGATCTTGTCAGGATCCTGCAAAGTCCCTAGCAGGATCCTGTAGGATCTTATCAGGATCTTACAAAGTTCCTAGCAGGATCCTATAGGATTTTGCCAGGATTCTACTGAATTCCTGGCAGAATCCTATAGTATTTTGTCAGAATATTATTATACAGAATCTAATGTCAGGAGCTACACTGCAAAGCACAAAATTACTTGCTTTCAAGAAAATTTTACCTGTCCCGTGGGTCAAATATTCTAGGTAAGAATCAGATAAGTAAGAAAATTATTCTTAAAATAAGAACATTATTCTTCGTTAGAACAAAATTCTTGGTAAGACAATTTTTCTAATTTTGTCCCGTACTAAAACACAATTGAGAATATTTAAAATAATATATTTAACAGCTATACATGAATAGGTTGTTAACCTAGGTTATTAATTAACCCATTAAGCTGCAGAGCTTACCCATTGACGAGTAATATCGTCTGGCATTAGACAAGTAAAAAAGTAAGTAGGGCGCATTGCAGCTGAATGGGTTAAAGTAATTACCGATAGATAAAAGTAAAAGTTCTCACTCGTAGCAATATTGTTCAATTTCTTGAAAAGCCTTTACCATGTCAGACTGCCAAGTCTGGATGGGTAGTCCAAGTCGAGCAGGTAGAACAACGCCAGGAAGTAAATCACAGCTTTGACAGTTATGCCATTCTCGAATGTTGCCAATACTGTGGCTCCTTGTCATGATCAGCCCTGGTTCAGTGTCATGGATCAGTGGGCTTCTTTTGTAGCCAGGTAGTCATCAAGGCCATGTCTCCAAAATTAGTTTTGGTAACAACTACACAACCCATTAATTAACAGCTTATTTTTTCACTAACAAGCTATCCTCTGGGATTAAACACTAGAGCGAAATACTAGGATGGATGGAATAAGAGAAAGTTAAGAGTCAGTTTTGTTCGCCCATATTAACTTATCTCAACAATAGGAAGGCTCAAAACTAAGAAGATGTATACATACACTAAATTTCATTCAGGCCTTACTAAATGAATTTAACTCACAAAATGAGACTATAACCTCACCTCAACAAAGTTTATGATGTCCACTTTGCTCTTAGCTGAGCCTGAGGTTTACTTTTTTATTTGAAGAGTGAATTAATGTTCTTCATTTAGTGAAGTACTTTTGTGTCTAGAATTACATGCATAAAAATTACCAGATGACTGTTCATTGTCCAATTGATCAATCGGCTTCTTTTCACAATTCCTCATGTATGCGCTTTCTTCTGCTTTAATTCTATATATTGGGTTAACAATTTTATGATTCAGATAGATAACATTGTGATTTCCTCAAGTTTAATACTCAAATATAAATTTTCATGTATATTAGGGCCATTTATATGAGCGAAAATAAGTCGCGGCTTAAATAAATCCCGAATGACTTGTGTAAACAGTCAATTTGTTCGCAAGCGCGGCTAAAATAAGCCCAGGCTTGAAAGCTAGGCCTAAATTAGCCGTGGCTTATTGCAAATTGACTGTTTATATGAGTCGTTCACAACTTATTTAAAGCCGCGGCTTATTTTATAGGTCGCATCTTTAAATATTTTCGCTCGTATAAAATGGCCCTATTGTTTAATATACCATGTGCCCATGTGCGTTCAAACATGCTTTATCGAGTTTTGTCAATCAAGTGCAACCCAGTATTTACTATAATGTGTTTATTCAAAATTTGAATTGTTGATTTTGACTAATATTTGACGGCACTGAAATGAAATAATTCAATATAAATCTTGCGCGCGCAAAATTCAAATTTTAGCAGCCACAACAGGCCAACAGCCACAAGATAAAATGCGTAAATAGTGTCGATGGACGTTATAATTATATGATATAAACAGTAATATTTCATACCTGAGATCAATAAGGCTTTGGCAGGATTCGGAGTCACTTATCCAATACGAAATATAGCTTTTCCTTGGCTTTTCTTCATCGAAATATACTCAAACGAAAAAAATCATACTTCGCTTGACATTTGATACACGATATCCCATAACTCATTGCGCGTGTGGGCCCTTGTCTTCTAAAATAGATACACCAAAAAGTGCTGCCAATCTATTGCTAGCTACCCTGAATTCCAGAGCCTTCAGTAAATAATAAATTGAAATGTCGCGAAGGCTCTGTTCAACGGGAGGGTTCTTTGATTAAACCGCGCCAATCACAAAACAAAATTAGTACAGATTTAATCAAAGAACCCTCCCGTTTAATCAAAGAACCCTCCTGTTGAACCAGAGCCTTCATGACGTTTCAATTTATTATTTACTGAAGGCTATGGAATCCAGGGTAATCGCTAGCTTGAAACTGTGTGAAGCATTAATCTGGGGAAAAAATTATCATAAAAAAATGGTGAAAATTTTTATAAGCGAATAATGAGATAGATTTTCTAAAAAAATTATATATTTCAATTAATTCAATATCATATCTCATTAAAAGATATATAATATATAATTCGATATATATAATTCGTCGTACCATCCAGCCTCACATAAATCAGCCACTATAAAAACTTTAGTTAAGAGAGCACACATAGTCTGTAGTTCAAGCGAGGATCTTAAAACGGAATTGCAACACCTAAATGAAATTTTTGACGTTAATAACTACCCTAAACCATTTGTATGCAGCGTTACCAATCAATTCAGCAAACCAACAGCAGATATTAATGAGATATCCAATAGTGAAGATAAGAAAGTCATTGCCACCATTCCGTACGTCAAAGGCACGTCAGAGCGAATTGCACAAATTTTGAGACCCTACAACATCGTAGTGGCCCATAAACCTATGACGACGTTACGGGATGTTCTAACCAGAGTGAAAGATCCATCACCAAAGAATTATCGGGTGGGAACAGTCTACAAAATAATGTGTGCTGAGTGCCCTGCTAGCTATTTTGGGGAAACTGGAAGAACTTTGGAATGCCGAATTAAAGAACATAAGTGCTGCATAGCAAATAAAGATGCTAGTAACAGTATTGCAGTTCATCATATGGCAACAAGACACGAAATGGATTGGGAAGGAGCCACCTGCTTGGAGTATGCATCACATTATGGTCAGAGAATGTTTTTGGAAAGCTGGCATACGAAGAGCGAGAAGGACAGCATTAATGTTTGCTGCGAAATGCCAGGCGCGTATTATAGTTTAATTGCAAATGAACGAGCGCTCACAGAATGAGAACGCACGCGAAGACAATCATGCAACCGTGCAGCTCACGCAAGATAAACATCAACGGATAAAATAAACAAACGTTCAAGTCTTCGAAAATGGTTTTCGTATTGGAAACCGAAATGTCAGACAAAACTATTTAATTTTGTAATAATCTAGAAGAACAATAAAACAAAAAATCATATCTCATCTTAGCCAAGCTAAAATTGCCTAAGGGATTAATGGTCATTTCATAGATTTTCTTTTTAGGATCCTACTCAGGATCTTCTTAATTTTTCTGGTAATATCCTGGTTAGGATCATGCATGCTATTAATTAAATGCCAGGATCCTACGGCAGATTTTTCTTATAGGATCCTATAGTCAGGATCCTGTCAGTTTTCCTGGTAGTATCGTATCCAGGATCATGTTATTAAATGCCAGGTTCCTAGATTTTCCTTATAGTATCCTATTCAGGATCCTGAAAATTTTCCTGTAGTATCCTGGTTAGGATCCTGTTATTAAATGCCAGGATCCTAGATTTTCTTTATAGGATCCTGCTCAGGATCCTGTCACTTTTCCTATAGTATCCTGGTTAGGATCCTGTTATTAAATGCCAGGATCCTAGATGTTCTTTATAGGATCCTACTCGGGATCCTGTCAATTTTCCTGGTAGTATCCTGGTTAGGATCCTGTTATTAAATGCCAGGATCCTAGATTTTCTTTATAGGATCCTACTCAGGATCCTATCAATTTCCTGGTAGTATCCTGGTTAGGATCCTGTTGTTAAATGCCAGAATCCTAGATTTTCTTTATAGGATCCTACTCAGGATCCTGTCAATTTTCTTGCTAGTATCCTGGTTAGGATCCTGTTGTTAAATGCCAGGATCCTAGATTTTCTTTATAGGATCCTACTCAGGATCCTGTCAATTTTCTTGCTAGTATCCTGGTTAGGATCCTGTTATTAAATGCCAGGATCCTACTAGGATCCTAGGATTCTAACAAGATCCTAGTCAGGATCCTGTTGATTATAGGATATTGATAGGATCCTAATTCAATTCCTATTACTTTTAGGATCCTATCAGGATCCTATTCAGGATCCTGTTAATTTCAGGATCTATCCTGCACAGGATTTTTACCAGGACTGCTATAAAGTGCTTTAAGAGAAATGTTTCCAAAATTTGCTTCTGACTCTGCTAAATTTGTATAAAAATGATCTATCAAAGTCTACTTGTCTGTAATGAAAGCAGACACCAATTGTCTATATTTATGATCATTGATAAAGAAATTATGTAACCTTACGAAATTATATAGCCTTCTATATTTGGTTTCATTCAACTAATAAGTAATTTATATTAATTAAAGTCACCAATGAAAATGCTAAATTGAGAAGTACATAAACATCAACACTTACAACTCCATATACACCTACAACGGCAACATGTGGAAGAATCATTACTTTCATAGTTTCATAATAATATTCTCAATGCCATGACTAATAGTCGATTTTCTTGTCAAAAATTACGAATCAGTTCGTTTCCACTGCGTATTAAATGATGAAACCCTTCAAATGCTTGCCAAAAATGCACTATCGACATTTGCCATATTCAGACTAGTAAAATGATGTTGTTTTAACTGCGTTTGATGTATGATTTTAATTGTAAATTCACAAATTTCCCTTTGTTTCACCCTTCAGTAAACCGCCATTTTTAAATTAGTATCATTACGTCATTTACGCTGTCGTTGATTGGCTATGAGCACGCTTACAAACTTCTGGTACGCGCATAATAGCAATATATCTGCATTCGCAGATACAAAAAAGGATAAAAGTTCCCACACAAAAAACCCTCAGAAATTTATTTTCCCCTTACTGCAATAGATTTTCTGATTTCTGGCTTTGAAAACAGAGTATGATACATTTTTACCTGTAAAAGATGCATGCAACAAATCTCTTTGATTGCTGGTTAAAATAGACATGTACAACAAACCATATCTGGACTGTAAGTTTTTCATCGGGAAAAAAAAGGGTTGTTGAGTTTCTACAAACCAGCATGTTTAAAGTTGGAAAAATAAGATACTATTACATAACCTATAAATGGCTTACTTTCAGGTATTTTCTATTTTTCTTCTTTGCAGAGTACAGTGCTCTATTACCAAATTGTAATGCATAGTGAATGTGTATCCTGACAAAGAGTCTTAACAAATACAAGCTTGGATATCCTAAAGCCTAGTTCTCATTCATCGCAAACTGTCACTGATGCTTGCCAATTGTGAATGCACGAAAGTTCTCATACATCGGTGATTGTCGCAGATGACAGCCAATGTGTTTCGAAATTTCCCACCTGAAGGCACAAAATGGCCCCGTTCAACGTTAAGTTCATGATTTCTGTCAAACTTGAGTTGATTATTTTCTTGCTTGTTGAGGAAAAAACAACTTTTACTCATTTCTTATAGATTTTTCAAGCAGGTGGCAGTCTGTGATGATCAGCGATGGTTGCAAGAAACAAACTTTTTTGTTTCATCGCCAATGGTCGGCGACAATCACGGACAATCGGCGATATAATTTGATGTGTTCTCATAAATCGCAAGCGGTCGCAGACGTCGCAAAGCTCCCATCGCCGACGGTTTGCGACTAGGCTTAACAATGAAAACGTGGGAAGGTTTGAAAGTAAGTACTTCCCAATCTCTAACTTACTTACATTCAAATTCTATCACAAATTTTTCTTCCAAGCCCAGAACATGGTTTAAAATGTATCAGATGACAAAATAATTCCACCAAAAGGTTCCTCTTTTGTTTCTTCATATGCCTTGAATAAACATAGCGATTGTGTGCTGCTGTTTAGCTCTTACTTGCTCAGTGCATTCTGACACATATCACAGAAAGCAGTTGTTTAGCAGATAGCCTGTGACATATGTTACTGGATTCATCCTGTTGTTACTTTCCATGCAGGATTTGTAGTTGGTGACATCAACTTCTGTAGGAGCTTCGGCTGGTCTTTCTGTGAAATCCTGTGCAGGTAACTTTTGATGCTTTCTGGAAGTTAGACTTGGCCAGTAGAAATGCATCTGGGTCCTCTGTGCAGTTTCCACTTGAAAAGACTAGACAGTGGTCATAAAAAGTTTTTTGAAAGCCCTGGTGAATTGGAGTAGGGTAAGATTATCGGAATTGCCTCCCTTCTGCTCTATTTAATAGCTTTTACACCCGTTTTTAAATATGTTGAACTTGTGCTCTTTAGCAATGATTTAAGAAAGCAAATTAACCACTAGTCATGCCATTCACCAAAGCAGTAAATTAAGATTTGGCGTTTGAAGTTGTCGTTTGGCGTATAAATTTCATGCTTGAACTGCTACGAGGGCTTGTAGTCGTTAAGGCATGAAATTTATACGCCAAACATCAACTTCAAATGCCAACTTTAAACTCCAAGTCTTAATTTACCGCTTTGGTGAATGGCATGACTAGTGGTTAATTTGCTTTCTTAATTCATTGCTAAAGAGCACAAGTTTAATAAGTTTAACATATTTCAAAACTGGTGTAAAAGCTATTATAATAGAGTTGTAAAATCAAAAACCTTGCTAGCAGTTTGCCGTAAACGTCAATCTAAAGGTCTCTATTGTCCATAGGGATACAACTCCAGTTATGGCCAGACACAAACCATTCGGACATTTTAAGTTGTTTGTGTGGTCTTGCTGTGTGGCACAATCAATGACTTTGATGGTTTGATAAATGATAACATGTCTGAAAGAAACTCATGGTGAACAGACTTGTCACGTATTGGTCTTCGATGTTGTTTTGGACTGTTTAATGTTGAGCTGTTCAGACAGTCAAATATTTTGTTGAAATTGGCAACAAGTTCAGCTGGGCTTGCACCAGTTGAAGGTAGGGCACCAAGACTAACATAGGTCAAAATAGTAGCAGAGACAAAGTGGCTGAGAATTTGGGTAGAATATTTAACTCTCATCTTGGTCAATGCAGTCAAATGCATGGTTATTTGTCCGTTTTTGGGCAGCATTGAATTGTTAGTCACTTGTACATGTCCCTTTCATACATCGTTAATATATCATTCCATGGGGCAATGTTGTGGCCATAATAAAAGTTGTAATTAATTAAGTTGTTCCTGACAGCCTTTATTAGTTGCGGGGTGGGGTGGTCGAACAAATAGAAAATCATAAATTTATGTGACACTCCCTTCCCTAAACACATAAAAAAGCATACTTTCTTTAATTTAATGAAAAACGGGTTGCATTCCTCCCAGATCTTGTCTGAGTCATTACTATTACACCAGTCATTTCAGCATAATTTCCTTCTGCTTCGTTGGAGCTTGAACCAATTTCTTCAAGAACAATGTCAGTTTCATCCTCATCACATGATGTCAATGGGCTACAATTTCACTTTCATCTCGAGAATCAGAGTCTGATTTCTCTTTCCGCTGTTGACTGGTAGCAATGAATTGGTGTGTAATGTGTCTCTGGACTGCAGATACTATTGCTTTCTTGTTTGAAGCAGAGTGCAGCTTGTGATGTCTCTGGTATTTATCCAAGACAGCTACTGTTTGTTTGGTGAAAGAACCATCATTGAACATGGCATTCCAATCGTAATCTTCGTATTTCTTCTTTGCCTTAGCAGATGCTTTGACAATTTTTTTTTGCACTTAAGATAATCAGTAACACATTCTTCAGATACTATAAACTGCCTACTGAAGTTTGAGATACTTATGGGATCTTCGTTGACAACCCTGTTGTTGGTTGGAGTTTTGTCTGCAGGAATGATATCTACGACTTTCGTGATCTGGCCATGGGGCATGTTCAATCTTGGCTACAGCACTTCTCTCTGCAGGTGCAAAAGTCACATAGTTTTCCTCTGCAAGATCCTTTGAGGTACTCAAGAAACATTGCACCATGAAGACAATGAGAATCTGTAAATTGATATATTTTCTTGAAATAATTACATCCTGGTACCTACTTCTTCTTAGCTTCCGTTTTAGCAGCTGCATTATTACATTAGGGTAAGGTTTTTCCTGTTGAGAAACATAACATTTTATAACTTCTCCAGCAGGACCCAGTTCATCATCAATCATTGCTGCTACATCATGGGCCACTCTACACGCATATTTTCCATGCATAAGTTCATTTGATGATAGTTCATCGATCTCTTCACTTGTCAGACCATCGACAGGTGTGAAATATTTCCACTTCAATGCTGTGCCATCTACAAGGGCCTCTCCAACAGAGAGTGGTAGCTTTCCATTGATGCAAGTCATTTGTATTAGAAATGTATCAGAAATTTCACATTTTTTAACTGTAATAGTTTAATACAAAATTTGAAGAAAAACATGTCAGCAGGAGCCCACAAGAAATTTTAACATGGCCAACATACAGAAACGTACTTACTAGTCTTCAGGGCACAATATGAAGGCAAAAATGGAATTGTCCCACGTCCCACGATATAGTAAGTTTTCCATAATTTTGAGCCTCTACCTGCCTGACTATTTGCAACTGCATAACATTAACAACTAATATATACCAGAGTTTTCACGCAGGCATGAAATTCCAGCACCCTTATGGCCTTATATTCCCATAACTATATTTATAATTTTTATTTAAGTAAGCTTCTATAACAACTCTTTTATACTTTTACATATAGTTGCGGATTCCTTGGAAAGTCTTTACAAAATTATAAAGACAGAGTCACTTTACGTTATCCAGATGGCT